GGAGCTGGGAGGGCCGCAGACCTCCTCTGCTGAGAGTCTGACTGACTGACTGACCCCCTGAGCCAGGCAGCACATCTATTTATACTCCAATCCATCAAGGGGTTTTCACAGGAAAACAAGGAGCCTGGGAGGGCCCAGGTTCCACCCACTCCTTCCTCCTGGACAAACACAAGCCAGGAACTAAGAACATCTCTGCACACCCATGGCGGGAATGCAAATGACATGATTCTGTCATGTCAGTTGCATTCCCGCATCCCAGGCCCAGTCAGCAACAATCTAGAGAATATCCAGGTGTCTTCCCATTTGGCCCTCTACAGGGAGTACCCAGGGCCTCCCTGGTCCTCAGGGAGCTTCAGACCGAGGGAGCATGCCCTTGACCCCAAGGAGCCCTGAGTTTGATAGGGGAGGCAGATACCCTCTCCCAGGGGGGTGTTTAGCTGTGGCACACTTTGTTTTGGGGAGTATCTGTCTGACCTCAGCCCCGGAGGCTCCCTGCTTAACCAGGGTTCTGATTAGCCCCCCATGGAGCCAGTGAGTCCAACAGGACTGAGCTGTGAACAGTGCGGGGAGAAGGATGAGAATGAAGCAGATTTTGGAGGAGCTTCATTAGCGTTCTCCCCTGACGGAAGGGAGTGTGATGCAGGACTGGCCCCAAGCAGAACCGCTGGTGGGAGGCAGAGGCAATGCCCAGAGAGCAGGGGTATGCTGAGCTCAGGGATTTGCAACCCCCTTAGAATGACCTGGCAGGAGAGGGGGGGTGTTTAAAAATAGTCATGCTTGGCACTTCACCCCAGAACAATTAATCTCTGTGAGGGAGGCCAGGACGCTGGCGTTATTAAAGGCCCAGCAGGAGGATCCCATGCACGGCTGTTGGTGAGGACCACTGGCTGGAGTTGGTGTCTTTAGCTCCGGGAACTGGGGTTTTATGTGAAGGGGATGCTGGAGAAGTGTGTTTGTTATTCTCTACCGGCGGTTCACCATCATTTCAACACCAACAGGAACCCTCCGTTTGGGTGCAGCGAAGAGGGAAACTTTATTTATTTAAAAATATATATATTTGGAGTTTTTTCAGAGAGGAAGAGAGAGGGATAGAGAGCTAGAAACATCAATGAGAGAGTCATTGGTCAGCTGCCTCTTGCACATCCCCTACTGGGGATGTGCCTGCAACCAAGGTATGTACCCTTGACTAGAATCAAACCTGGGATCTTTCAGGCAGATGCTCTATCCACTGAGCCAAACCGGTTTCGGCAAGGGAAACTTTATTTAGAACAAAATGGCTTCATTGAGGTACAACACAACAGCATGGCTGTGGGGCAGCTCCCCTCTGCTTTGCACTGACCTGCTCCAGCAAGGTATTCCCCCGGTTTCAGTCAGCCACAGCCTCTGCTGTTGGCTGGAAAGGGAGAGTTGCTCCCAAAGTCCAGAGAGGAGCTGACTTATACAGACAGAAGTCCCCACCCCTGCTCCCTGATTGGCCCACCCTCAAGCCTGGGAAGGCTCCAAATGCTCACCTTTTGATTGGTCCAAAAGCCACTGTTCGGATTGGTTAGAACTGCTCTGGTTGGGCGGAGCAGCCCAGCTTAGATCGGATGGGGAAAGCCGCAGTCCTATTGGTTGAAACAGGATTCCAGGAACTCCTTTATAAAGGCTGGTTCCGCTGACAGGCAGTTCAGTGCTGAGGCGGATAGTTCACTGAAGGTTTCTTCCAGTTTTAGTGAGAGGTCCCCAGAACAAATGGCTGGGAGGCTGTTTGTTGTTGTTTTTTTTTTTAAACTTCAGTCCAGTTAGCCACCAGGATCCCTTCTTAGCAGGTGTCTTCTTTCTCAAAGTTCACACTATGAACTGAGCTTTTCAGGATTTGGGATTACAGAGAGAGAGAGAGAGAGAGAGAGAGAGAGAGAGAGAGAGAGAGAGAGAGAGAGATAAGTGAGATTACTGCTTTGGCTGCTAAGGTTCTAGAGAAATTTGGTTCCTCTGTTGCCAGGGTTTGGAGGTGAGATCAGAGGCCTGAGGAGAAGTAAAAGTTTTTTACCCAGCCCCACCTCACACTAAGAATAACCATCAAACCAGAATACCCGAAGCTGGAAGGTGGGCAAGAAGCACTGTGCGAAGAATATTCTCTGCTTCTGAGCTTTTTCTTACCATTTTCCTCAGTCGCTCGCACCATGAGCCTCCATGCAGAGTGACAAGGAGAAAAGGCTGCCAGAGCACCACTACCTCAGGGCCTTTGCACGGCTGCTAGCACCTACCTGCTCCATTCTTTCCTCAGAAGCCCGAGTCCACGGAGCCCCAATTCCTTCAGGTGTCTGTCTGCTCAAATGTTACTTCAGCACAACTTTCTGTGACTGCCTAGAAGGTCAGTCTCTCCCTCCCTCCCACTCCCTATTCATTTGTCATGTTTTCTTTGTCTCAGCACTTACTACAACATGGTATATTTTTATATTTTCCTACCGTCTCTTCATCTCCTAGAGCAGTGTTTCCCAAACTAAGACAGAGCACTAAGTTAAGTATACAATTTTACCTATATGTTCCCCATAATTCTAGTTTAGCATTTCTTAGTTGGGATTCAGGAATCTGTAGTTTAACAACTCCACCAGGTGATTCCCATCATGAGAGAAGTTTGGGAAAGACTGTCCTAGAGAATGAAACACTATGAGGGAAGAACTTGCTCAATATTTTTTCTCTTATTTTTTGTTTTTAAACATTTTTTTTTTTTCAGCAAAGAAGAGCCAGTGTGAGAGAGAATCAATGATAAAAATCATTGATTGGCTGCCTCTTGCATGCACCCTACTGGGATTGAGCCTGCAACCCAGGGATGTTCTCTGACCTGGAATTGAGTGGAACCATGACATCCTGGGTTCATAGGCTGATACTCAACCTTTGAGCCACACCCACAGGGCTGTCAATATTTTTTTTTCATTGCTATATCTCCAAAGCCTAGAATTGTGACTGAAACATAAGCAGGCACACATTTGTGGAATGCAAATAAAAGAAAATCACTTAGCCGAGACCGGTTTGGCTCAATGAATAGAGTGTCGGCTTGGGGACTGAAAGGTCCCGGGTTCGATTCCGGTCAAGGGCATGTACCTTGGTTGTGGGCATATCCCCAGTAGGGGGTGTGCAAGAGGCAGCTGATCGATGACTCTCTCTCATTGATGTTTCTAACTCTCTATCTCTCTCCCTTCTTCTCTGTACAAAATCAATAAAATATATTAAAAAGAAAAAGAAAAAAAAAGAAAGTCACTCATGTATATGCACATTGGTGTGTGGCTGAATATATTTGACTATATTTCCTATTTCTTTGGGCTAGATAGGACTATTATTTTTTTCTTTAAATTTTTATTGTTTAAAGTATTACATATAGTATTATGTATGTGTCCGTTTCCCTCATTGACATCTCCCCAGCCACCCCCACCTCCCAGCACAACCCCCCCCCCCCCAAGTGTCTGTGTCCATTGGTTATGCTAATTTTTAGAATTCTTTATTGTTTAAAGCATTACATATAGTATTACATGACTCTATTTTTAAACTCTGTATTTGCCTTTGCATATGTGTTTTTGAACATACGAAGGACTCTCTGGGTCTGCGCATAACGTCCTTCTGACTGTGAGCCTGTATTCCGCCTGTGTTTCTGTATCCTCCAGTGTGTGTGGATGTGTCTGGACCATCCATCCTTAGAAGAGAGCGTGTGGCCGCCTCCTGCCGGCAGAGGGAGCCGGAGAGCCGCGCGCGGCCTCCCGGGGCTAAGATGGAGCAATCTTGGCGGGTAGCGGTGGGGACCCAGGAGACCCAGAACCCGCGAGCAAACAGGAGGAGGCCTCTCCACACCAGCAAAGTTGTGCAATTCCCGTTATGTCTCCTCAGCCCGTACCCTGGGACGGGGACGGCCTGGCCTCACCGGCAACCCCGGCGCAGAGGCATCCGGGCAGGGTTGGAAGAGCAGCTCCCGGGGAGGAGACCCCTCCGGAAAGCCCTCCTTCCAGGACCTGGATCTCCCAGCCCCTGGGATCCCACTCCTTCCCGCCCAGAGGTGCTCCTGTGCTGTCCTCGCCTGTCTGCACAGCGAGGAGCTGGCTTCTTTCTCCTCCTGGAAGGGCGGGGGGTGGGGTGGGGTGGGTAGATGCCCGGGGTGGAGGCAGGAGGGCCGGCGAGGGCTCCGCCTGGGGTCCCCGCGCGGGGAGGCGCCCGGCGGGGGCTCCCGGCGGATCCAGGAAGCAGATCCCCAGCGCCGGGCGCAGGAATGGATCCTCCGCAATCCTTCACCAGGACGCCGACCATTCCCAGTTTGGGGAGCCTGGGGATTCGGTTCTGGGTGTGGGATCCACGAGGAAAACAAAACACGAGAAGAGGATTTCATGCTTTCTGATGCCTGCCCACCCCCAACACACTCACCCCCAGACTCACTCACACTCTTCCTCCCGCACCTCGGCCCTCCGCCGGCGGGAGGCTGGTCCCCAGCGCATGCCCCGCCCTTCCCCCCCCTCCCCCCCAAATCCCGCCGAGTTCGCCGCCCGGGACCCCGGTGCGGAGCCGGGGCGGGAGGGGAGGCGCGGGGGCCGCCCCCGTCCCGGTCCCGGCGCCCCGTCCCCTCTCCCCGCTCCGGCGCGGGGTGCGAGTGTGCGCGCGCGCGGGGCGGGGGGCGGGGGGCGGGGGCTGGGGGAGAGGAGCCGTCAGGGGAGGAGGGAGAGGAGAAGGGGAAGGAGGGAGGAGGGGAGGAGCAGGAGGGAGCGCAGAGATGAAAGAGACGCGGAGAGATAAAGCGGGAGAGGAGGGATAGCCGGAGCGGGAGGGGCGGGGAGCGGGGCGGAGAGAGGGAAGAGCGGCGGGAGGGAGGGGGCCGGCGGGGAGGAGGGGGGAGGGAGGGAGGGAGGAGGGAAGTAGTTGTGCGCGGGTGTGTGTGCGTGTGCGCGCGTGTGCTGGGCGGGCGGGGGCGGCTCCTCCTCCGGCCCGCGGCTCGCCGCTCGCCAACTCCGGCCCGGCGCGGGCGCACGGCGGGCAGCATGCTGAGCCTCCTCGTCTGGATCCTCACTCTCTCCGACACTTTCTCCCAAGGTAAGGGCACCGGCACCGGCGCCGGGACCCGGGCCGGCTCCCCCCGCGCCGGGGGAGTCCGGGGGCCCGGGGGCCCGGCCATGAGGTCCCCGCGCGGACCCGGGGCGCGGAGCCCGGAGCCCGGGGCGCGGAGCCCGGCGCCCGGAGCCCGGAGCCCGGAGCCCGGCGCCCGGCGGGGGAGGACTTTCCGCGAATCGGCCCAAGTAGTTGCTTCCCCGGCTGCGCGCGGGGACGGAGGGGAGCGGGACCCGAGCGGGAAAGTCCGTCCGGAGCCGCGGCAGCCCGCCCGCCCGCCTCCCTCCCCGCTCCCGCCCTCCGGGGCCGGCGGCGCGGTCCTGCGGGCGGGGAAGCTGGGGAGGCTGGGGTTCCAGACTTGGGGGGTGGGGGGCGCGCGGGAAGCGGGGGCCCGGGCTCGGGAAGGGCGTGCGGAGGGGATCCCCTGCTCCAGCCTCGCCCCCCTCGGGGGACCGCCGTCTGGAGGGAGGAAGGGGCGCCCCGGGCTCCCGCCGCCGGGAGCTCGCCGGGGAGCGGAGTTGCAAAGGCAGTGGCTGGCCGGCCCCATGTGGAGGGGCATTTGGGGGGGGGGCGGTGAGCCCCCCGCTTTGGGTCAGGAAAGTGTGGACGCTGTGAGTGTATTTGGAACTGTCAGGGGAGAGGCGGGAGAGGAGGAGAACCCAGGTTCCTGTATCCTCCTGGGGGCGGGGGCCAGGGCAGGGAGATAAAGAGCCCGGACCCCAGGCGGGACTGGGCGGCCTGGGGCTGTGGGTCCTGGCCCTGTGGGTCCGACTCTTGGGAAGATTGAGGACTGCCGAGCGAGCCCCGCACTCCAAAACAGCGCTGATGTAATTCACACACACACACACACACACACACACACACACACACACACACACACACCAGTCCACACACTGAAGCAGACCCCTCACCTGCTCACCTACCGAGGTGGGCAGACCCACCAGCATCGCCTGCACCGAGACAGACACATCCACACAAAGACACCGACACATCGGAGACCGATTCCTCTCCATTTGCACATCCATGCACCCAGACACAGCCAACTCATAGGCACAGTACACGCATGCAGGCATGTACCAGGACACAGCACACACACACTCACACCGAAAACCTGCTGTAGAGACCCACCGTCCAGCAAACAAAGAAGCTCCAGTAGCCATCCATATAGCCAGACACCTCTGGAGATGTGCCGGCTACAAAATGGAGAGGGGGTGGGCTCTTTTTTTTGGGGGGTGGGATGTGGGGGGGGGGCCCGGATCTGAGAAGAGGGAAGTCAGCGTGGATAGAACATGCCCAATCGTCATGCCTGCGCCGTTCCCTTCCGGGGTTTGGGGTGTGTTTGGGGTGGAGTGTTACACTGGACCCCTTATCCCCTGGCGGGGCCCCTCCCAGGCTCCAGAGGCTGAGCTAATGGGGCAGAGCTTGATCCATCTTCCCCCAGAGGGCATCTGTGCTCCCGCCCCCTCCCCCCCCCACATACACACACATGAACATAGGAAGGGCGCACACTTAGGGGGAGAGCTGAGTAGGAACTGGTGCTGGGGAGGACGGAGGCCTGGTGCTGGGGTTGGCTGGCCAGGCTGCCACTTGGCAGAAAGTTGGGAAGAGGAGGCCTGAAGTTCTCGTTTTGCTCTGCCAGGCTGCTCGGGAGAAAGAATGTGTGTGTGTGTGTGTGTGTGTGTGTGTGGTGTGTGTTGTGTGTGTGTGTGTGGGAGTAGCTGGGTCAGTGTTGGTATGTGTTGGGGGCAAGCTACGTCTGCCCTCTCTCTGCAGCCCTTAACATGTCTGCAACATGGACACGAATGAGCTTCCAGAAACAAAAGCTGCAGTTGGACCCGGGAGAGACGTGCGGATGGGAGCAGGGAGGGAAACGGCCAGGAAGAGAGAAGGGTGTTGTGGGCCCCTCTCCCTTTGGGGAGGGGGCGGGGTCAGAGGTTAGCGGAGCAGGGGGGAAAGCAGGAGCTGATGGAAGTGTGCAGAAGTGGTGGGGGTGGGGGTTGGAGGATGAGTGAAGGTGGAAGAAAAGACAGAGAATAGACCAAGGGGAAAGGAGCCACAGGGAGTGCTCTGGGAAGCGAGCGAGGCCTGGGGTGGAGGCAAGGGCAGAGGCCGGCCATGGGGGGCGACGGGGTGGCAGGGAGGCTGGCACCTCCTCCCCGGCCTCCTCTTTAGAAAGAAGGGATTCCAGGTCAGGGGCTGGGGCAGGGAGAGAGGGAAGGGGGTTGCCAGCGGACGGAGGGGTGAGGGTGGGAGATGGGAGGAGGTGGCACATAAACAGGGGAGCAGGGAGGAGGAGCAGGAAGGGGAGACTGAGAGCTCAGGCAGAGAAATAAAAAATCACATCTTAAAGAATGCCAATGGGCTTCATCAATCTTCATTTCTCACTAAATAATTTTCTGTATCTTATCTAAATGAAAACCATTATCCTTACCCCCATTTCCATCATGCGTCAGCTCCTCAGACTGATTGTGCCGAAAATTGAAATATTTAATCATTTTCTGGGCGATTTTCTCGCTCCCAGTCTTGAAGAGGAGAAATTGAAAAAGAAAGATTATAGCTAATCAGAGCAATGTGGGATGACAGGCTGGCTCGGGGTGGGAGCTGCCTCCAGAGGAGGCGGGTACAGGAGGGGGTAGGGGCAAAATCTGTTCCTTCAGCTCCCAGGTGGTATCCCTGCCACCTGCAGGGAGGGGGTGAGGGGTAGAGGTAAGAGGCTTGAAGCTCTCCCCATTCCCGGCACTCAGCTTCCAGAACACAGCCACATCCTGGCCGGGAACGTGGGTCTGGAACGGAGAGTAGTTGGGAACGGAGTCCCCCCCCTCCCCACACCTTACACGGACACACACACCGCACACGCCCCCCCTTTGCCTGCTTAGCCCGAGTGGGCCCTGGGGGTGAGGAAAGAGGCAAGGAGACAAGGCAGAGATCAGGATACTGGACTCCCCTTCTGTTTCCTTTTTCTTTAAAAAAAAATCTTTGTTATTGAAAGTATTACATATGTCCCCCTTTGCTCCCAACGACCTTGCCCCCACCCCAGGCCGTTAGCACCCGATTGTCTGTGTCCATGGGCCATGCATATATGCATACAAGGTCCTTGGTTGGTTACTTCCCACCCACCCACCCTCCACCCCTTCCCTCTGGGATTCTGCACTCTGTTTCCATGTTTCCGTGTCTCTGGATCCACTCCGCTCATCAGTGTATTTTGTTCGTTAGATTCCACATGGGAGTGAGATCATGTGATGCCTGTCTTTCTCTGGCTGGCTTATTTTGCTTAGCATAGTGCTCTCCAGGTCCCTCGGTGCTGCCTCAGAGGGTGGGAGATCCTTTTTCAGTGCTGCGTAGTATTCCACGGTGTAGCTGTACCACAGCTTTTTATCCACCCGTCCGCTGATGGGCACGTGGGCTGTTTCCAGATCCCAGCTATTGTGGATGGCGATTGCTAAGAACACAGGGGCGCATCCATTCTTTCTGAATGGGGTTTTGGTTTCCTTAGGATATATTCCTACAAGTGGGACCCGTGGGTCCAAAGGCAGTTCCGTATTTAATTTTTGGTGGCTCCCCTCCTTGACTTTGACTGGACTCCCATCTTCCAGGCACCCAGACCTGAAGGGGGCGCACATCCAGCCCTCCGAGCCTGGCGCTGCCTCTGGCCACGGCCCTGGACCAGCGGGACAGGGAGGCCTCCAGCCTCCCCGCCTTCCCGCCTTCTGCTGCTCACGGGAGCTGCACGGTCCGTTGTCTGCGCTGCCTCGGCCCCTGGTGCTGCGGGCCCGGGGAGGCCGTCCTGTGGTCCCAGCCTTCAGCCCTGGACCTGGGAACTGCGTGCTCTGATGGCCCCCTCTGTCCCCGGAGGCCACGTCTTAGTCTGTATGTCCTCTCAGTTCCCTGCACGGAGCGATGTGTGCACAGGGTCCGTGCCCTCCCGTGCCTGGGTGATCTGATGAGAGCGCCACGGGGTTAGGCGGATGGAACAATGATGGAGTCACAGTCCCTGGCTAACCCCGCCCCCCCCGTGGCCACTTGGTAGTTCCTGCAGCTTAAACAGGTCTGTGCCTTCTCTCTGCCTCAGTCTGCTCACCTGTAACGCAAAGACAGACGCAATGCCGCACGGGGTCTCCATGGCAATGGGGCATGTTGATCCTCGGAAGGAGCTTGGACCCGCGCCTGGCACAGAGATGCTCACCGCGCCGCTGCTAGGACCCTGTGGCCGGGCATGGATGGGCCGCCGTCGAGCTGTCCGCCTGCCCCCTTTCCATGCTTCTCTTTTGTTTTCTTGCGCCAGCCGCCCAGGTGGCTGGTCCTGGCTCCGGGCCTCCTCTGTGTCTCAGGGAGAGGCCGGGGCTGTGGCAGGCAGACCCAGGAGGGGAGAACTCCAGCCAGGAGAAGGGGGCTGGGGAGTGGGCAGAGGGGGAGAGGTTGGCACTCCGGTGAGACCTGGAGGGACACGAGCCCCAGGTGGCAGCATCTCAGAGTCTGGAAATGACACGGACCATTTTCCGAGCCCTGTGCTAACTGCTTTATATGCATTATCGCACGTAATCCATACCACAACCCCCTGAGATCAGCGCCGTAATGATCTCCGTTTCACGGGTGAGAAATCGAGGTTCAGACAGGTTACGTCTCCTGCTGGCCACTATGGGGTCTGGCTGACCTCAGCACCTGTGCCCTTCCCCTATGCTGGGGTCCCCCGTGCCAGCGGTGACGGATGCTGGGCCAGCACTGGGCTTTCCTGGCCCAGAATCCCCCAGAAGTGGGGACCTGGGAGCGAGCCCAAGACCATCCGCTTCCCAGGCAGCTGGGCCTGGCAGACAGGGAGGCCGGGCGGGGGGTGGCCTGTGCCAGTCGGCTATGGGGGCCCTGCTTTGGATTCCGTGGTGAAAGTGATTATACCGGTGGGAGGTGAGCTCCATACCAAAGCATCCAAATGACTTTTTTATTGAATTCCTACCGTGCTCTTCCTATGCATTGCTCTTTCATTTCTTTAA